ACAGCTGTTAGACATGTTATCTCAATTAGTTCTCACAGCAATGCTGCCTGATAGGTTTGAAAAAGATGACAGGTAAGGGGATCTTAACCCTTGACTTGGTGTTGTCAGCACCACGCTCAGTCAGCGAGCTAACCAGCCATCCCTACATGGGATCCGAACCCGGGGCCTTGGTGTTGTCAGCACCGCACTCTCCCGAGTGAGCCACGGGCCGGCCCAGAAGACCTTTATTTAATTTAAGCAAAAAAAAGCTCACACAGAAGCTCAAAAAACATACTCACAAATGAAAAGCCCTGAGGTGGGGAGACAGAGGTTGCCTGTGGGAGGAATCTGAAGGCAGCTAGCTTTGGAGCCAGAGAGCACAGTGGCTCCTCTGGAGATAAAAATAGTCACTGGCTTCCCTGGGGGCCAGATTGGGCACCCTTCCCATGCAGCAGGCCACTACTGCACAAGGCTCCTTCCTGACCCTATAGCCCTCACCAGAGGGACTGTGCCCTGCCCTGGTGTGGGCTTAGGAAGGGATTCTGTCAGTAGTCTTGTAGCCATGAAGGAATGGGGAGGTTCTACTACTGTGTTTCCAGCACGCAGCACTGGATCTGGCATGTGGCACACCCCAGGGAATGTTAGAGTGAAGGAATGGGGCCCGGCACACCGTCAGGCCAACCCCAAAGAACAGTTAAAAACCACAGATCTGGTCCAGCCAATAAACTGGGCTTAGTGTCACAGGGACCTGTGAAAATCCTTCACAAAAGACTTTTTTTTTTTCTCTTACCCTCCCAACTGCCTAGCCCTGGGCAAGTACCAGCAAACCAGTTAGTTAAATGACTCATTGACTTGCTAATGAGATCGTTCCTGGGTGAGTTAAAGGAGACAATCAAAAGAAATACCCCCAGGGAGAGATAAACCAAGCTGGGCAAAATGCTGATTGTTAAGCCAGGTGATTGGTACTGGGGATTCATTATAAGATTCTCTTACTTTTGTGGATATTTGAAAATGTCTTTAATAAAAAATTAAAGTTAAAAATTAAGTACAGGGCCAGCCCGTGGCTTACTTGGGGGAGAGTGGTGCTGATAACACCAAGTCTAGGGTTAAGATCCCCTTAACAGTCATATTTAAAAAAAAAAAAAAAAAATTAAATACAGGCAAAAAAAGATGGTTCTAGAGACTTAAGCCAGTTTTTCCTGACCGAGGAGCCACTACATTTCATTACTTCTGAGGTCCTGCCTGTTGACATTTCAAATACTTTATTGTTATTTTCTGTCATTTCAACAATTACTTACTGAGCACCTAACTACCAGATACCAAGCACTGAGCTAAACACTTGGGCTAAAGTGATGAACAGAACTAGGTCTCTGCTGTCCATACCTCTAGAATTTAGTGTTGTCTCAAAAGAAATTGCAATCAAGTGTGCTAATGCCCTGACCCAGACCAGGTGCTGACGGAATACACAGTTTCTTGAGGGATTGGGAGTCTCCCTGGTCAGAGGTGGGAGGAAGGCAGTCTGGGGCAGCAACCAGTGTGTGTAGCTAGAACATGGGAAGCCAGGGATGAGGCCTAAGATGCAGACAGGGGCAGGTGATGTTGTCATAGGTTGACAAGAGCCACTGAAGGGCTTTTTTTTGTTTTGTTTTGTTTTTAAAGATGATGTGTAAGGGAATTTTAACCCTTGAATTGGTGTTGTCAGCACCATGCTCTCTGCTCTCCCAAGTGAGCCACAGGCCGGCCCTTTGAAGTGTTTTAAGTAGAGGAGTGACAAATGATCAGACAATGATGGCTTGGACCAGGGTGGGAAAGAAGCCATATTCAAGAAATACTTACGGGATATATGTACAGGAACTGGTAATTGACCAAACGAGCTGAGAAGGGGCTATCAAGAGGAACCCCTGAGAGAGGGAAGGAGGAGATATCAGTTGTCAATCAGGCAATCTGAGGTGCTGGAGAGGCTCCAACATAGGTGTACCGTTGGCACTGATGTGGGATTCATGGTACAGTTTCCATCAAGGAGTGCCAGATGGTCCCCGCTGCTCCTTAACTCTTGGCATGACTCTAGAGCAGTGATCTAGCCTGTCCTTCCTTAGAAGTCTCCACGACTAATCCTTGCCCTAGACTTACATTCCTCCAAATGGGACCTGTGGATATGTTGTCCTATGTTTTCTACAAAGACGTTTTGGCTTTGTGTTTTCATTTTGATCACAAGTAGGAGCATCGTGGCCTATGGCCACCCAGACTTACTCAACTCCAGAGTAAGCACCTTTGCTTTGTCATACTACACACCACAGCCAGGTCAGCAAAATACAATCCACAATTTTAAATTAAGGCAGTTAGATGGAATTTCATTGTTTTTACATTTATCTACCTTGGGAAACTGGTTTCAAATTGTGTATGAGAGCAAAACCAAAAAAAGGATTTTACCCAGTTTTATGTTTGTACATATGTAACTGATGAGATAATAAAAATGAGTCAAGTTAACATCTTGAGGCAGGTCCATGGAAAGTGTTTTCTTTTTTTCTGTCCTTTTTGAGACCAGCCGCACCGCGTTCAGCCAGTGAGTGCTGTGAGCGCACCGGTCATCCCTATATAGGATCCGAACCCGCGGCGGGAGCGCTGCTGTGCTCCCAGCGCCGCACTCTCCCGAGTGCACCACGGGCTCGGCCCGGAAAGTGTTTTCTTTAACAGGACTTGGTAGGGCTGGCCCGTGGCTCACTTGGGAGAGTGTGGTGCTGACAATGCCAAGTCAATGGTTAAGATCCCCGTACTGTACTGGTCATCTTTTAAAAAAAAAAGGACTTGTTAATTTCTCAGATCTGAGAAACAGTGTCCCTGACAAAAAGGAATTCCAATACAGTGTGACAAGCAGTTGACAGGACAGGTATGAAGCACACTGGGAATACACAGCAGTGGCCCAAAACCTGGTCTGTGGGTGTCAGGATACTCTCATGAGAAAGACATGCTTAAATGGAGTGAGCCAGGAAAGGAAAGGTCAGGTCTGCGCCTGGGTGCTAAAAGCCAAGGGAGAAAGCCTGGAAGCCCAAGGTGAGGATGGTGAGCTTCTAAGGACCTTGGCCATGGACTGTGTGACATGATCAGATTTGTGCTTTTGTGTTCAAAGAATGGATCAAAGGAGAAAGGCTGAAGGCAGGGAGACCAGCAAAGAGGCTGTCTAAGTAATCCTGGCTCTCAGCCTCTAGGCCTTTTGCCTGTGCAGTTCTACATTCTGTAAGTTCAAGGCCACCTCTTCTGGGAAGCTATTGAGGCTCCAGGCCCTGCCCTGCATCTCTGCTGCCTTCTGTCCCAGCAGTGATCACTTTTGCAAATAACCTATCTGCCACATCTGCCCTGCTACCTGCCTCCCCGACTAGACTCTCCTCAAGGGTAGGAATGTGGTTATTCTCTGGGATCTCAACTCTGCTGCATGTAGCACAGTGGGGTGCTCACGTACACTGTAAGATGCTACACACCACTAGGCATCTGGGGTCACTCCAAGCCCTTATGACTCAGGAGGAGAGATGAGGTTGAGGACAAGAGTACAAGCAGTCACCCTGTGCCAGACACCTCACAGTTGGCCTTGAATTATTCTCAGTCCTCCTCCCTACACCCTGTGAAAGTGCTACAATCATCTCCCTCTTTTCGGATGGGGAAATAATGAGGCTCAGGGAGAAGGCAGTGACTTGGCCGAGGTCCAGGCTTCCTCTTGTGGAAAAGAAGGAATCTGAGCCAGGATCTGTAACCCTAGACCCTTTCTTGTAGAACAGACTCGGATTAACCACTACCCAGCCAGTATAAAGTCAGGTGACAGGAGTACCAAAGGCTAAATACTCATCGTATCTCTTGGTGGAAAAGGAACAGGAACTGGGAAGGAGTGGGAGGTTCAGAGTGGAGTGAGATAAGGAGGAAAGAGTCCCATAGACTGGAGTAGCAGGCTGTGAAAGGACACAGGTGGGAAGGGAGGCAGCAGGGTTTGGGGGAGAATCCCAAAGCTTTGGCTGGCTCCTAAGGGAGCAGTAGGGGCTGGCAGGGGTGGGCCTCCAGTGCTAGGCTGAGGGTCCACTGTGTGTCTCCCAGGGAGGTGAGAATTGAATAGGAGACAAGGCAGTGGCAGGCCAGGGTATCCTGTCTCCCATGAGAACAGAGCAAAGATCCCTGCAGGTCAGCACCAGGGGCAATTAAATGGAGACAATATTTTGCACTCTTGAGAAAAAGGTGATAACACTGCCTTTTGAGTGTGCTCACATATGTGGTTTACAAAGCACTTTCACATCTAGTTCTGAATCTATTCCTCACAACAGTTCTATCAGGCAGGGGAGGAATCTAACACCAAATTTACAGATGGGGATACCTAAACATGGCCCACAGATTCTGTGTTTTGAACCCAGAACCTCTGGATTCTGCCCTTTCTCTGACTGTGATTCCAACTAATTTCTTTTTTTTTTTTTCCTTTTTGTCTTTTTTACTGACCGGTAACGGGATCACAACCCTCGGTGTTGCGCCCGCACCGCGCTCAGCCAGTGAGCTGGGAACCAGTCTCCACATGGGATCCGAACTCTCGGCGGGAGCGCCGCCCACCCAAGCGGCGCACTCTCCAGTGCGCCACCGGGCCGGCCCTCCAACTAATTTCTTAACCACACTGCAGATGACCAGCGGTCCCCTGCAATCAAGTTCCTGTCCAAACACTCCTCTGGGACTGGGGGCCAAATCCCAGAATCTTGATGCCTTCTCCCCTTCCCAATGGCCTCTAAATGCTTCCACTGTTGATGGCACCTAATAATGATTAATTCCTTCCTTCTTGTGAACTCTGCAAAGTCTGAAATCTAGGTGCTATGACCTCATTTCATTGTCTTCCTTCGAGGCAGGGAGAGCAGGTATTCTCACCTGATCCAAGGAGAAACTAAGGCCCAGAGAGGAAAGGTGACTGGTCCAAGGCCACAAAGTGAGTCAGTGACAGGGCTGGGACAGGACTAGAACCCAGGTCTCCTGCTAGCCCCTCACCCAGATCCCCTCCTTACCTGCAGCACTGACAGGTTGGTCTGTCCAGAAAGGCTCAGCTTCTCCTGCTCTGAAGGATAGGCATTGTAGCGGTGCAAATACAGCCAGTCCCGGAGGATCTTCACAGACTCCTTGGGCAGGTTCCCCCTGCGCTTCCTCTTGCCTGCCAGGGAGAGGAGGCCTTCATCCTCGCCTAGATCACTGTCTGACATAGTGTCTGGGGGCTAGGCTGGACCTTGGGAAAACCTGGGACAAGTGACACAGGATGGGAACATCATTACCATGTACTGCCTCTCACCCTTTTCCTAGTCTGAAACATGTTTACCGTTACTCGATTCTGGGCCACCAGAAAAAGGGTAGTCGCAATTCAAAGTCTCAGGCCATACTGTAGCCTGAGCAAGCTAGAAGGGATGAGTCCAGAATGCTTCCATTTCATGGAGCAGGTAAGTGATTGAAATGAATGGCAGCTCATTCATGAGCAAGACAAAGACTAGAAATAATTACAGCCACCACTGAGGTCTACTGTTTTCCACATTCTGTACCCAGCACTTTACACTTAGTATCTCATTTAATCCTCACAAACCCCTTGTAAGGGAGAAGCTATTTCTATCATCATTTTATAGATGAGGAAACAGAGATCAAGAAAGTTGCCCAAGATACTATGGCAGTTAAACAGTTACCACGTGATCCAGCAATTTCACTCCTAGGTAAGAGAAATGTAAACCTGTGTCCACATAAAACCTCATACACAAATCTTCATAGCAACATTATTTGTAATAGTTAGCTGGCCAGTTAGCTCAGTTGGTTAGAACGCAGCCTTATAACACCGAGGTCACGGGTTCAGATCCTTGTACTGGCCAGCTGCCAAAAAAGAAAAAATAAAAATAAAATGTAATAGCCAAAAGGTGGAAACAACCCAATTGTTCATCCACAGATGAAAGGATAAACAAAATGTGGTCTGCCTATTCAGTGGGATATCATTTGGCCATAAAAAGAATAAAGTACTGATGATACATGCTATAACATGGATAGGCCTTGAAAGCATTATGCTAAATGAAAGATGCCAGTCACAAAAGACCGCATACTATATGATTACATTTATAATGAAGTGTCAGGAATAGGCAACTCTATAGAAACAGAAGGTAGATTAGCAGTTAGTTGGAGGATAGAAGGGCGATAGCTAAAGTATACAGGGTTTCTTTTTGAGGTAATAAAAATATCCTAAAATTGACTGTAGTGATGGCTGCACATAATCGTGAATATAGTAGTCTCCCCTTATCCACACTTTTGCTTTTCATGGTTTCAGTTATTCATGGTCAACCGCAGCCTGAAAATATTACATGGAAAATTCAGAAATAGACAATTCATAAGTTTTAAATTGCTGCTCTTCTGAGTTGCATGATGAAATCTTGTGCCATCTACCTGGAACATGAATCATTCCTTTGTCCAGCATATCCACACTAAATGCGCTACCTGCCCGTTAGTCACTTACTTAGTAGCTCTCTCCGTTATCAGATCAACTGTATTGGTATCACAGTGATTATGTTCAAATTACCAAAAGTAGTGATGCTGGCATACTGTTATAATTGCTCTATTTTTAGTTAGTATCATTAATTACTTACTGTGCATAATTTATAAATTAAACTTTATCATAAGTATGTAAATGTAGGAAAAAATATGGTATATATAGGGTTCAGTACTATCTGCAGTTTCAGGCATCCACTGGGGGTCCTGTCCCCTGAGGACAAGGGGGGACTACTGTATATTAAAAACTACTGATGTATATACATACTTTAAATGTGTAAGTTGGATGGTATGTGAGTTATATCTCAATAAAGCTGTTATGGGAAAAAAAATCCTACCTCCAGGAAATGTCATCAAAGAAGGATTTCGACCCAAGTAGTTCGCATGCCCCCCCACCCTGTCCCCCTTGTTGGCTCTACACCATCTTGCCTCCCAGGTCTGCCATGGCCCTCAGTGAGGAGTTTGGAAACTCTGGAAATCACCATGTCCCTGCAGCAATACAAGTAATATTTACTGAGCACCTGCTGTGTACCCTGCAGAGAAAGTGGTGAGTCATCCCTATTGGTTGTTTCTTGGACACTGTCTTGTCAGGCCCCTGGCTTGGTCCTAGCCTTACCCTTCACTTGGCTGTGTGTCCCTGAGCAAGTGTCCTCCCCTCTCTGGGCTTGATCCCCCTCTTTGTCTGTCATTTGGAGGAAGATTTTTCCCTCGATAACCCAACTCAGCTGCTCATCCCCCTGACAAAGTTCTTGTTCACACATGCAAACGACATTTTTAGAAGCAAAAGTTCTAGGCCAAGCTGATGCCAGGATCTTAAGGCTCCTCCTTTTCCAGCCTTTTAACAGATCCCCAACAAGCCCGGCCAACAGACTCTGGCATCTCCCAGGTTTTGTTTCCTCGACTTGGGCCTGAGCCCAGATCTCCACGCAAGCTAGGCCAGGCTTTCGAGGGAAGGGTCTACCCTCTCAGCCAAGCCACCTGGAGGTGAGACAGGCACTGGTTAGAGCTGCCACTTCACAGAGAGCACCACCAGCAGGCTGCTTTCTGAGGTCAGACATTTATTTCTAGGCTGCCAGGGCAGCTGGGCTCAGGGCTCCGGGATGGAGCCCTGGCAGGCTGTAAGTTTACTCAAGGTTATCTGTACAAATTCCACCCTGGCTGCCAGCCAAGTTTCTGTCTGCAGGGTTCCAGGGGTGGGCCCTGGGGATGACCCCTCAGTCTACACAAACCTTTCCAGCTCAGTGTCCTGCACCGCAGGCCCGCCTACAGTCTGGGAGGTTTCCCACATATACACCCCACACTCACACCAGTCACCCCCCTCCCTCACGCCACACAAACAGCTCTCAGATAACTGGCACCGACCCATCGCTCAAGTCCTGCAAGCCCCATGATTTTCACCGACACGTAGAGCACACACAGCTTTACAACCCCACGCCTAGCACGAACAACTGTGACCCACGCAACTAGCCCAACTCTCGTATCCGCCCACCTACAAACTCCAACGGACCTGCCCACCCACGATCTCTCCGACAGGGAAACCGTCGAAGCCATGAGTTCTTACCCGAACTAGTCTGTGGCAGCACCCCGTCGACGATGCAGCACTCCGTACACCCTCCTACACACACCCACGACGCCACCTGCAGGCACTCCCGCACGAACTTTCTGACAACTCCCCCAGCTCCGACCCCACACTCCCCTGGGCCGCGCGCTCACGCTCGCATTCCCAGCACTTCACACAAAGCGCACGACCTCCCCCGCGACCCAGACCCAGCCGGAGCACATGGCTCCTGGGGCGGCGGGGAATCGGCGGCGCTGGGGGCCCCTGCACCCCACAACCCCGGTCAGGCTCCGCGCAACAGTTCCCCCGCGCGCCCGCAATACCAGCAGGGCGGGGGCTCTGGAAAAAAGAAAACTCACGTGTCTGTCCCGGGGCAGGAAAAAGTTTGGTTCCCACCCCCTTCCCTGGCTGCTCGGCGCTGGCTGACTTCGGGGCGCGGGGCCGGCCGAGCGTGCGCGCTCGGCTTTGTGCTCCGAACTCAGCCCAGAGGGGGAGGGGAGAGGAGGGGGCTGGGCTCCCACCTCCGCACCGCCCCCCCAGTCCTGCGTCCAGACTCCATGTTGGCCGCCCCCTGCCCCGGAGTCTGCGCGCTTCCCCCGCAAGAGGCTCTGCTCACCCTCGGCCTGCCCGTGGGTTCCGGCGCGCACAAACTTTCTCCAGGTCGCCGGCCCCACGCGCCCCACTTCCTTGGCCCGCCTGGGAGTGACAGATGCCTCGGAGACAGACTTTCCTTTGTTCCAAAGGAAAGGGGAACTCGCGCGGGCTCCCCAGCCCCCCCCGCTCGGAGCCCTTCGCGCTGCCCCCTCCCCCAGCTGTCACTCTCAGCCGCCCCCTACCCGGCTCGGTCGCGGGCCCGGGGGGGTGCCCTACCGGCGGTTAGCACGTGCACTTTTGAAACCAAACAAGTCCGCCTCCCGCGCGCTCACCCCGGTCAAGGGAATAGGCAGCCCTCTCACAGGGTGGGATCCTAAGGAGCTGAATCCCCCCCAAAAGGCCTCGAGCGAGCTTCCTCCCGGGGGCTGTCCCCCACCGGCCCCTGCCAGCACGCTGCAGTCAGGGCTCACAAACACACCCGAGCTCACACACCCACAATCGCACACGCCAGGACGACGCCCCCCTCCCCCGCCCGGCTGAGAAAAAGAAACTTTCCAAGTTGTCCGCGAGCCCCCCATCCCCACTTCTCCCCCTCCTGCGCCCCGCACTGACCTTTCCGAGCGGCTTTCCGGTCCACTAGGCCCTGGGCTGGGTGCGGGGCGTCCTGGCAGGGGGCGGGGGGCGCCGGGACAGCGCGCCGCGTACCTGCCGGGCCTGACACCCGGCCTGACAGCTCGCGGCTGGAAAGCACCTCGCGGGCTGACGTCAGATCCCCTCTCCTCCCCTCCGCGCGCTCCTCGCCCTCCCCCACCCGCCCGGAGGGAGAAAACAAACTTTGTGCGGAGCGCGGCCAGCTACGCCCACCCCCCGCGGGGCGGGCCTACGGCGCGGAGGGGCTTTGCCCCGCCCCCACGCCCGGAGGGGGCGGGGCCGGAGGGCACCTTCTTCCTGCGCCCACCCCCACCCGCAGGAATGCCACATGGCCTCCGAGGATGAGCGGTGGGATCCTCGACTCGGGACAGCCCGCTTGGGGGCAGGAAGTGGCCCGTTCCTCCTTTTGGAGCGCACTTCCGGAGCGCCTACTGTGTGCTCCTCGCTGGGGGTGGGGGCCGTGACGGAGGGCGCAGTAATGCAAAGCCGGACTTTTGTAAGTTCGCTCCCTCCGCCAGATCCGCCGCCGGCAGTGTGATTGTTCTCGTTGCATCGACGGGAAACTGAGGCCCAGTTAGTCCGGGGACTTCCCACCTGCTGGTAAAGGACCGGGCACAGAGTGTGACGCCTGTTCTGCCCCCAGGGCCCGTAGAGTTGGGAAGAGGGCCGCCTCAGACACAACCCTCACGCACGCAGCACAGGAGGGGCGGCCAGAGGTGAAAACAGCCAACGCTTGAGTGCTTATGAAGCAGCGAGGCTGTGCGAGGACTTCGTGTGTATCCTCCCGTCTAATCCTCGGGTTATGGGGTAGGCGCTGTTGTATATAAGCTGCTAGCTTACCCATGAGCCGCAGAGAGGTTCTTCATTTGCTTTTGTCTCACAACCAGTGTCATTCAGCCTAGGTCGGTGTGACAGCAGGGCCTGAGCCCTTCCCCATGGTAGCTGGTCCTTGTTCCCTGCTGTCCAGGCTGGTTTCTTTTTCCTCAGCTGCCCCAGGAGGTTTTCCCTGGCCTTTGCCAGACCCACCGCCACTCTTTCCTGTGCTGTCTGAAATACCTGTTGACCAACCACACCCACTGCCCAGCACAGTTAGCCTAACTCAAACCCCCAAGGCCTTTTCTGGGCCTGTTTACTCATCTAGGGCCCTTGAGTCTGGAAATCAACAGCCTTGAAAACAGCTTTTGGTCTTAATTGATCTTTAACAGTGGAGAACTCTGGGAACAAAAGTCTAATTTTTTCCAAACAGGCCCTAAGCCAATCAGAATGCTGATTAAATGACTGTTAAGATGCACCTGGTCTTCTCATTGAAGCCACACTTCCCTGCAAATGCCTAGAACCTAATTGGCTAGCTACTCTCCTCGCAGCAGCGTCCAGAATGTCAGTGACACTGCCCAATGCTCTGTACTTCACAGATGGGGAAACTGAGGCCCAGAATGGCAGCCACAAACAATTTCTTGGCCAAGTGGTGCTCCGTCCATGGCCCTCTGAGAGCAGAGAGGCTTGGGGATCCTTAAGTAAGAAAGGTAGAACCAACTGGGTCCTGGCCACTAGGGTCACAGCATGTATGAGTCAGGGACCTTCAGAAGGGAGGAGGCTGGAGGGGAAATTAAAGGTGCAGCCAGGTGAGCCTGGAGATGTGACTTATAACTGGCTGCTGAGCTTGAACTCAGCACTATGGATTGTTTGGATTGTGCGTGAGAGCTAGACTCTGCCCTTTTGGGGGGATTCACTGGGGACCTGGGCCAGAGCCAGCTATCTCCTCACAAATTCTGCCTACGGCAGCTCCCTAAACCACTACTGAGTCAGACTGGGAAAATGGAAAAGGAATGACTCCTTCCTCCCCTCAGCCTACAGCAGAGCCACCTGAGAGCTGCTTAATAGAGACTTCTTCCAGGGAAGTGGGGTGGGGGTGGAGGGAGGGGGGTAGTGTGTCAGGATTTCCCATTGTAAACAAATTCTCCAGGTAAAGCCATACTACAATTAGAGTTTGAGAATTACCTTGTAAAGTATCTCAACTAGTAAATATCAGGATTTAAAATGTGTACATCCTCTAAGCCAGTAATTCCACTTTTAGGAATCTATGTTGAGTAATAGCTACAAAACAAAGATAAATGCTTACATAAGATTGTTCTTTACAGCACTGTTCATTCTGGAAAAATTGCAAAGAACTAAATACCCCTTACCCTGGAGCTGACAGGTTACAGCAACTCTGTTACCTCCATACGGCGTACCATGGGATGTTGTAAAGGGGTAAGTCTGTGCTCATTAATGTGGGGAGATAGCCAAGGTATATTTATTGACAGCTTGCACTGTGCCAGCTAGAGGGGGCTTTGGATGTACTTGGTGAGTGAGAACTTTCATGGGGAAACTTTTCCCAACTGATAAGTTATTTTATTGTCATTTTTCTCTTATCCAAATTTGACATGTACTCCCTTTCTAAATTAAAAAACAAAAAATGTTGTGTTGAAAAACCCCTCCCCTCCATTTTTTTCCACATATGAAGAAACTGAGTCCCTGAGAGAAGAAGAGACTTGCCTGATAAGGAGCCTGGAGTCCTGACTCCTGGGAAAGATCTGGGGTGAGACTAGGAGAGGAAGGAGAGATAGGTGGAAGTGGCATCCAAGTCCAGCCCAGCTGGCTGCTCGGGACTTCTAAGTCAATTGCCTGCCTCCATACTCGAAAAACACAAATCAGAGGCTATTAGATATGGGCTCCATTTTGATCATGCCAGTTACTAGTGAACTTAGTGATCATATAGGTTCAAATGACTGTTATATAAATATACTTTCATTCAAAAAAAAAAAAAGAAAACTAGCTTCTGCCCTTTTTATGGAAGTGGCAATAGGGACCAGCATTCACAGAGAGCCAAGATGAGCCGAGTCTAGGTCTCAGCATAAAGGAGAAGATGGTGTTCTGTGGGGTAGAGGGGAAGAGTCCAGCAAAGGCCAGAGTAAGTGAGTAATTCAGGAAACAACTGGATTTGGTGAGATGGTAGGGCCTTGAAGACCAGAGTGAAGAATTTGGATTTGGCAGTGTGGGCAGTAGGGAGTCCTGGGCAGCTTCCTGAGACAGTGGCCCAGGAGAGTTGGGAAAAGACTGGCTGTAAGGTGTCCACGTGACCCAGCTCTGGGTCAGTGAGGCCAAGCAGATGGAGACCTGCCTCTGAGATCCAGATTTGTGGCTCTTGTGTGAGGTTCTGCATTTTCATCTAATATGGATTTCCACTTATCAGCATCTTCCTTCTTAAAAGCCCAATAGTATCTTGTTGATCAACCACAATTTGCTTAACTTTTTCCTAGTAGTTGGGTATTTACTCACTTAACTAATTTTGGGGTGCCCACCTTGTGTCAGGCTGGGTGCACTTCAGGCTGGGGAACCCGCCACCTAGGCAACCTGAGGCGTTGGACAGTAGAGCCAGGTAGTGTGGCACTTGGGGTTTGGATTTACCAGCCAGGTGATTTAGGCCAATTGTGCAAAGCCTTTGAACCTCAGTTTTCTCATCTGTGGAAACATCGGGCTTTAGTGAGAGTCAAAGAAAATAATGGCTGTGAAAGCCCTTTGTGAATAATGTTAAGTGCTTCTAGAAGAGCAGGTAGGATTATCATGGTTTCTTAGCTCTGCCTGTAATAGCTGTGACAAATAACCTCATCTGACAGTTTTTTTTTCCTTCATCTGAAAAATAAGAGAGTTGGACATGATAGGCCTATCTTCCTTTTTTGGCATTCTACCATATAAGGCTTAAGTGTTTTTTTTTTTTTCCTTTTTGTCTTTTTTACTGACCGGTAATGGGATCGCAACCCCCAGTGTCGCGCCCGCACCGGGGACCGGCAACGGGATCGCAACCCTCGGTGTCATGCCCGTACCGGGGACCGGCAACAGGATCGCAACCCTCGGTGTTGCGCCCGCACCGCGCTCAGCCAGTGAGCGGGAACCGGTCTCCAAATGGGATCCGAACCCTCGGCGGGAGCGCCACCGCTCTCCCAAGCAGCGCACTCTCCAGTGCGCCACCGGGCCGGCCCGAGGCTTAAGTGTTTTTGAAGTATTGTGCGTGTGTATGCATTGTGTATGACTGCTTACCCACAGTTTAGGTAACACCAGGGTTTATCTTTCTTATTTCATCTTTGCTGGTTTAACTGGTGGGGAGTATTACCTAAAAGTTGTATATGCCTGCATGGCTTTCTTAAATAGCCAGGCAAAGCCTTACTCTAGTTGTGCTTGATTACATGATTTTCTTCCTGTGCAAATAGTTTTTCATCAAAGGGATATTTCAGATGGGCTTGAGTTACATACATGTTAACTCAGGGTGTGGCTGTGGCCTACAGGTAGGGATGCTGCAGTCTCTCCTCTTGATGCCCTCTGGCTCCTAGAAACAGATTAAATAATGGGTGTTGTGCTTTTAATTTAGGGGTAAAAAAAAAAAAGTCCTGGTTTTCTGGGAGTCTGCTCTCAGACCTGTAAACAGCTGGGTACTAGCACCTCCAATCATGGCTATAGAAATCAGCAGGTCACAATTGGCTATTGTGGGGCCACGGAGATTTAATGACTGTATTTTTCTTCATTCTTTTTACTAGGGTCTGGGTGACAGGATAGATAAGGATCAGATTCCATTTGGCATTGTTTTATCATTTTTTTAAATTCGTTTTGCACATTTTATTTTATTTTATTTTTTTTGTTCTTTTTGAGACCGGCTGCACCACGCCCAGCCAGTGAGCGCACCAGCCATCCCTGTATAGGATCTGAACCCGCGGTGGGAGCGCCGCACTCTCCCGAGTGCGCCATGGGCTCGGCCCGTTTTATCATTTTTATATATGGGAATTTTCTTACGTACTGGAGTATTTTTTAAATTACAAAAGCAAGTATACCATGTTCACCATAGCAAGGTAAACAATTCAGAGGCATACAAAGAAAAAGTGAATAGCTCCCTCCTCCTTCCCACCCTTCCAAATTAGCAGCGAGTACAGTTAGGTGTGGATTCTCTCACCTTTTTGTATCTACACATGTTCTGAGAGGTGTTTTTTCTCTTCCCTGTTGCTCCCTCTTATTTACATTTTTTCTTTTTCTGGTGGCTGGCTGGTATGGAGATCTGAATCCTTGACCTTGGTGTTGTAACAGTGTGTTCTAACCAACT